TTCCAATACGGATTAAGTTCGCAAGTCAAGACCCCACTGTACACGTTGCCTCTGGAGACAATGTTTTAGGAGACTGACTGAGCAGGCTCCAAGATTTCAGTCACGAATGGTCGCTAGATGAAACAGTATTCCTGTCTCTTTGCCACTATTGGGGAACACCACATATGGACGTCTTCGTTTCCTTTCTCAACAGGAAGTGCAACCGTTATTGTTCCAGGGCAGGAGTCAGTCCCCACTCCTTAGGTGATGCATTCATGGTTCCCTGGTCCGGGGGACCCCTATATATGTTTCCCCCCATTCCACTGATCCAGAAGGCTGTTGTCAAGGTGCGTCAGGAGCAAGCAAATGTAATCTTCATCACCCCTTGGTGGCCTTGCCAGACTTGGTTCTCTGCGCTACATCTGGGCTCGGTGGACCATCTTCGTCTACCACCGCTGCCTCATCTTCTTTCCACGAGGGCAAAATGCTGCACCCAGATGTGGAATCCCTGCATCTCACAGCCTGGCAACTGGTCCCTTGGTAGCAGATGTTCTGCTCCATGCTCAAAGACCGTCCACAACTGCCATGTACGATCATAAGTGGAAAGTGTTTTCCGACTTCGCCATCAAGAATAGTCTACCTATCCTGCCTGATGCATTGTTAGTTTCTACTTCTCCTCTTTCAATGAGGTCTCTCGCAGTCCACTCTGAAAGTGTATGTGGCCGCAATAGTGGCACATCAGCCTCCTACTTCAGAAGTGGCCAAGTTATTCCGACATCCGACCCTGAAACAGTTTTTGAAGGGTCTAAAAAACATGCGTCCGGTCTACAAGCCACCCACACCTCAGTGGTCTCTGCAGCTTGTCTTAAGGAAGCTGATGTGTCCGCTGTTTGTACTTCTTGCTACCACTTCTTTGAAGCTACTTACACTAAAGACAGCCTTCCTTCTTGCTGTTACTTCAGCGCAACGTACAGTTGAATTGACAGCTGTTTGGGTTGACCCGCCGTTCCTACAATTCCACCCTGATAAAGTGACCCTCTTCCCAGACCTCTTCTTTCTGCCAAAGGTGGTTACATCCTTCCACCTTAATCAACCGATAGTTTTACTGACCTCCTTCCCAAATCCAACATCAAACTTGGAGGTCTCTCCACTCCTTGGATGTCAAGAGAGCACTCTCCTATTATGTGTCCTGGACTGCATCCTTTCGTTCTTCCCAGAGACTTTTTGTATCTTTCCAAGGATGATCAAAGGGCCTGCCAGTATCACGACAGATGGTTTCCCATTGGTTAGTCACTGCAATACGACTGGCATACAAACTAGCTCATACCTCCTTGCCAACTACAATTCGGGCCCATTGTACTAGAGCAATCGCCTCCTCCACAGCCTTCCTTAGAGGGATACACCAAGCAGACATCTGTAAAGCTGCTATGTGGTGCACACCTTCACCTTTGCGATCCACTACCATCTGGATGTCCATGCCAAGGCAGAGGCTGCCGTTGGAAGGGCCGTCTTGGTATCTGTCTTGTTCTGACGCCGACCACCTGGTAAGTCAGCTTGCTAGTCACCCATTAGTGTGCATGCACAAAGACCACAAATAAGAAAGCAAAGTTACCTACCTGTAACTGGTTCTTCGAGTGGTCATCTGTGAATTCACACTCCCTGCCCTTCCTCCCTGTTGTTCGTCATGTGTGCCATGTGACATGCTGCGCAGTGGCAGACCCATGGAACTGAGGCACTCAATGCTGGGGGACGGGGTTATAGCCAGCGTGTGGGAGGTCCCAGCACCATGTGCCTGAGCTCTGTGCAAGCGCAGATTAACCCATTAGTGTGCATTCACAGATGACCACTCGAAGAAACAGAGTTACAGGTAGGCAACTTTTCTTTTTCAGCCTTGGTACAAAATTAAAAAGTGGGCATTCACAGATGAGATAGCAGAAAAGGCTACTGAAGTAAAGGCAGTGAGGTGTTTTTTTTTAAAGGATTATACCTCCTGGCTGTTCAAAAGGCAAATTTAACACCCACTATGCCCACACTTCTGGTCTGGTGGTCTAGATTACAGTACAATAAATACTCATGGAAGGAGACAGTTAGGCTGCAACCTAATTAGAGAAACATACCTGGGCTTCTCAGCAAATTACATAATGCATGTTAATTATATATGTTTATATCAATATATTACTTGAGCAAGGATGAACAGCTGAGACAGGAGATACTGGACAGTGGAAATAGAGGTTTGCCTGAGGATATTTATGGCATTGTGGAAGACAGCAGAGAAGCACTAACTGGAGTCCTTAACAGCAGTTGTGGAGAAAGCATGGTGAAGCCCTTCATAAGAATACTGGAGGTGCTTCATAGGCATTGAGGTAGGCAGAGGTGTGTGTGGGGGGGCACCTGACTGCCACATATATCCACTGGCCTCTTCTTTAATATAAATAATAATGCTGGCTTACCTTGAAGTGGTTATTGCCGTTGTCTGGGAAGCATAGAGTTATTAGTGTTTGAAATCCAAAGTGTGATAAAGCAGCAATGGGGAGTTAATTTATATAGAGTACAAACTGCTATCAGCTTGTGCTCCTATGCCACATCCAGGTCAATAGGTCCACTTTGTGGCCAGCAATTCGATAGTGGCACTTAGTCAAACTTTCTCAAACAAAGCAAGCCTAGACTGGCCTGGTTTCAAAACCTGGCTAAGAATTTTTTTTAAAAAAATGTTTGAGCTGCCTCTCCACTGGCAATGATTGCTTCCCCCCCCCGCTCCGCCTGCACAGCAAAGGTTGACATCCTGTGTGGAATTCAGAGCAGATCCTGAAGCAGGCTTTTAAAAGAGTTTAGATCCAATTATAACTTTGGAACAACTTGTTCAAACTTTCCCAGATTTGGCATGGAGCAACCACAGTGTCCAAATGGGAAGTCATAGCTATTCTAAGTCAAAAGACAAAGTACTGGAAAGCAAGGCAACTGCTAGGGATGTACCATTCGGAAATTCTGGACTTTTTTGACCAATTCAGGCAGAATTCCAAGAGTTCCAGTTCTACAAATACACATCTTCAGACACCTGTATCTCCTTTACCCAGCGCAATGCCTACCTCAGACACTGAATATCCTAGGCCACTATGCTTCCTAAGAGAAAGATGCTGCAGTACTTCCTGGGTGTTGTAGCCTTGCTGCCCTTAGGTCACAGAGGATGCCTCCCAAAGAACTAACCTCATTTTTTGCAGTGTAGCAAGAAATGAGACTTAGAATACAGCTCTGAGGTAGACCTTGTTCCGGGTGAGGGAAATACATGTGTCTGAAGGTGTGGGTCTCTGGACTGGAACTCCCAAAAATCTGCCTGGGAAATTCCTAGAGAATTATGTAAGATGAAGTCTTTAAAAATTGAATAACAGAGCTCTAGCAACTGCCAGAAAGGACTGCTCTATACATTCTGAGACTTCATAAAACACATTTCCCATTTTTAAAGAATAATTTTGAGGCATGGTTCTTCAGACCCACCAGATGGATCAGCTCCAAATAAAGCAGAGTACGTAAGGGAAACCATTTCTTACTCAAAGCCAAGGTCCATCTTTGAAATATACTCAAAAGATTATACCTTTAAAAATAATTGGCCAAACCTCTCCAACTTTGCCACAGAGCAAGGTCAGGCTGTCCATTAACAGTCTGTCAAATTTGCTCCCAATCCAAAACCTAGTTTGAACGTTACACATTTTTTTGTTTGATTGTACTACCCCCCACATCAGTTATGATTGGTGGAACTGTTTAATTTCTTTGTACATTTTCATGGTTGAGACTCTTGCCTGCGCATAATATCTAAATTGTTCAGCTAGTACAGTCAAGATGAATATGACAAAACACAGATCAAAGTCAATGCCAGTGCTACTTCACTAACACTGCCACACATGGCCTACTTGGTACTGGATTGGTAAGTTAGTATAAGTATCCTATTGAGATTCAAGACAAATCTCCAATACATTTTTCAGACAACATATTTCATATCTGTCTTGGCACAATGAGTGATAGTGCCTGACTACCCTCTGCTCCTCTCATGAATATCAAGCTGCTGTAGAAGGTTGAAACCTGTCACTTAGTCTTTATCCCTCTTGGTTATTGAAATTGCACAGAGCCAGGCTAACACTTGGGCAATGTTAGATAGGTAGTAGCTTACCCATCTGAAACAGTACAGTTTCTACTTCACTTGAAGACTTTAAGGTGACTGCCTTTGGAAAATGATTTCTTGACATCAAATTTCCCTGTCATTCCAGGCTGTTCTGTTTTGATCTACTTTGTTTTGGGGTTTTGATGAGTTAATGAAAGAGCAATACTTGATGGGTTTGATATCTAAAATATTGTTCTGATGTGAGTCCACCATCACATACCACTAGTTTTGGCATTAATTTTTTTTTATTAACAAGTACTCATTCTGTTCCAGCTCTTACCTAATTGCAAATTAGACTGCTCTCTTAACTGACATTCTCTCTGGTACAGTGGTTCCAATCTTGGGTAATCCAGGTATTCTTGGACTATAAACCCCAGAAGCCTTCACCACCAGCTGTGCTGGCTAGGTTTTCTGGGAGCTGCTGTTCAAGAACACTTCGGCTAACCAAGGTTGGGAACTACTACTCTAGGAAACTCAAATCCAGATTTTAAATGTAGCTTTAAACAGAATACAAGAGAGCAACATGGGATGAATTGTACAAGTTATAGGGATTTATGCACAGGACACCATCATAATAAGCTATTAACAAAATCTTGCAAAGTATGCCAAAATGGTTATCAGTCTCTGATAATAATAAAACCTGTCCATACATTATAGTGCTATACTAGTATACTACAGTAGAAATGTTCAGTGCAGAAATGACAGAGTAAACAGGTAAGCAATTTCATATCCAGAATTCACAGTCTAATATGTATAAAGATGATTCTTGTCAGAATTGTAAGACTGCAATGATTCTAGGCTTGAGTCCCCAGCACATCACCTTTTCCAATGACATGAGGTAATAATAAAAAAAGGAATAGCAGCCAAATTTTTTAACACAAAACTTGATTGAACTTTATTTTTCCCTAGTCAACAACGGGTTCGCATTGAGCCTTAAAGCAACAAAGTAATATAATCTCAATGACAAAGGGTCAGAAATCCAGATTGTTATTTTGTGAAAATGTTGCCACTGTATTATTGATTTTAATAACCTCTTTACTCAAAAACAAATTTACAAATAAAAATTATACATCTGAGAAGAAAAGTCAGCAGTAACATTCTCACTGAGCAACAGATACTTTGTTTTTTGTTTGGAAGGTACATATTATTCTGCTTTACACCAAAGCATCTGGTATAAATCATTTCCTATATCAAAATTATAACCTGTGGTTGTTGGGTGATTCTTATCCCCATATTTATTTTATTAAAATAACTAAATAATGTTCAAGTTTGTAAAGTCACCTATAGCTGGAAAGTGAACATGTTCAGTCTCCATTTGTAATTTAGTGCACTTGATAAGTTGTCTTTTCAATAAAATATAAAAGACAAAGCACATATTCAGGCAGAAGTTTCATCAACTGAAGTACTAAACAAAGATAAGGAGAGCTAGTCATTTCCAGGAACCCAACCTTATGAAAAAGACAGGTAGGGTTTAGAAACCTCACTGTATTCATAATTGTCACAGTATGTTTGATACTTGTCAATTTTTTTCCTTAAAGGCCCAATTATTGTGTAGGGTAAACACGTAACTAAACAAGCAAGTTCTGAAAACACCAGCTGCTATGGTGCTCAGTAGCATTCATTACTGTCATGTCAGATGTAAATACAAATGTAGCCCTTAAATCTATTTACTCCATGCAAGATCTGTCCCTGGGTATTTATATTGTAGGAACACACCTGCATAAGGGCAGCAAGACTACCTCTTAACACAAATTACACTGTCCAGTTTTATAATCTGTTTTGAAATTAATGAAACTGCAACTTAGTTTAAATCCTGAACAAGATCTGTCCCTGGGTATTCATATTGTAGGAACACACCTGCTAAGGGCAGCAAGACTACCTCTTAAAACAAATTACACTGTCCAATTTTATAATCTGTTTTGAAATTAATGAAACTGCAACTTGGTTTAAATCCTGAACACAACTTATAGCAATGAAAGAGTACACATTGTGAAGTTTTGTAAAATAAATAACCTTAAAAGGAATTGTTCTAGTAGTTGAATATAAAAAATACCCCCACTTCTGAAAGTGCCAGACTACTCATATATTTCACCATTCCAGTTAAGATATTGCTGTTCAGCTGAACTTAAAAAACTGACAAGTATGCATGTGCCAAGGACCGAATTGAAGGGCTCTTTGGTGCAATCAGTCCAAATTGAATAGGTTGGAAAGGTAATATGTACCAATAAAAAAAATCTGCTGCTAGACCTGGACAGCAGCTCTGTCTTGCTTCCCAAATACAAATCTAAAACAGCTGTTCTCAATAAGCCAAAAGTTAAGTCAGACATTGCCTGAAAATTTTGTACAATAATCTGGACCAATGATGGTTCTGTACCCTCATGTTGCTGTGAAACATGACTTGAGCTAAAGGCAAAGACTGGTTATCTCAAGGACAACTGCTTCAATATTAGCAATCAGTACAGTGCATTTAAACTGTCTTCCTGTTGGGTCTCTTGCCTTTCTTTAAAATTAGTTTATTCTTAATGTAGCCACGCTTCCTTTTGGCAGTCTAAAAAGAAAAACAGAATAGTGTATTAGTTACTTAAAATACTATACTTAGTGTATCATGTTTTTGAACTGCTCTAGAATTGTTCAATATATCATTTAGTTTAGGGTTAGAAAAGTCAGGCAGCTATTTGTTCAAGCACCTGAGAGTTTGAAATGTTTGTCCAGTATGAACCCAGTAGCATGCAATTCTAAGCATGTTTCCTCAGATATAAAGCTCCATTGTAATAAATTACATATCCTACTAAATCTGGTAAAGATTCGGCTGTACAAGATAGCTCCTCTATTTCCAATAAATTACAACTATTTTAGCATGTTATTTCATGGCATAAGCTTTTTGTTGTTTTTTTATATTTTGCTGGTAGCACAAAACATGATTTCTGAAACAGCAAATATAACTGACTACGTTCTTTCAACAATTTTTCTAGTTTGATAGTTATTTTCACATAAACTTTCCTCAAATGCACTACAGTCTGGCTTATATTTCAGTTTACTCGTTCTGCATGACCTACTTAATGCAGTGGTTCTCAAACTCTGGTTCTCTGAATGTTCTGGACTTCAGAATCCTTAACTTTGAAACATTTTTTGCTGGGGCTTCTAGGAGTTTAAATCCAAAACGTGGCAAATCAAAGGCTGAGAACCACTGACTTTCTCCCATCTGTAGCCCTATAATTTAGAACCAGTATCTTACCTCAAATCAGTGCTTTAATTCTACTTGCTTATTTTAGTGTAAATAAGCAATTCTATTGTTTATGTAGGGCACAATGTAATTAGGTCATGCAAAACCCATAATAAAGGACTATGTGTTGAAAGTTTACCACGAGACAGTAAGGATATCAGGTCTTTTAATGATCCGGAGTGCTAATTAAATACAGGAATCATCTCTTTAGTCACAACATTCAAATAAATACAGTGGTGCCCCGCTAGATGCTTACCCCGCATGACGTAGACATTTTTGCTATCGCAAGATGATGGTTCCAATGGTTTTTTTTTTTTTTGCATTACGTTGATTAGCAGTCTGCTTCACAAACCGTTTGTTCGCAAAAAGAGGGGTTACTTACCTATAACCATGGTTCTTCAAGTGGTCATTCTATGAATTCACACAAAAAGGGTTAAGTCAGTGCCAGCGTTGGTTCCTTTGGAATGTTCTCGAGCTCTGCAGAAAAGAAACATAGTTTAAGATTGCCTACACTGCGCATGCTCCGCCCGCCCAAGCCTCAGTTCAGTGACACAAAGTGGGGAGGTTAGAGGGGTTACTTACCTATAACCATGGTTCTTCAAGTGGTCATTCTATGAATTCACACAAAAAGGGTTAAGTCAGTGCCAGCGTTGGTTCCTTTGGAATGTTCTCGAGCTCTGCAGAAAAGAAACATAGTTTAAGATTGCCTACACTGCGCATGCTCCGCCCGCCCAAGCCTCAGTTCAGTGACACAAAGTGGGGAGGTTGGGCGGGCTTGTGTGAATTCACAGAATGACCACTTGAAGAACCATAGTTACAGGTAAGTAACCTCTCTTTCTTCAGCGTGGTCTTCTGTGAATGCACACAATAAAGGGTGACTAGCAAGCTTGCTTACCGGAAGGTGGGCCGTCACTGAAGGGCAGATGCTAGGACAGCTCTACCAAACCTTGTTTCTCTTTTAGCTCTCGTGTCCAGCCGGTAATGAGAGATGAATGTGGACACTCTGGACCATGTCGCTGTCCTGCATATGTCAGGTAAATCAATCCCTCGTAAGAGTGCTGTTGAAGAAGCCACTGCCCTGGTGGAATGTGCGCGAAGGCCATCAAAGGAGATGCTGGGAGACCTTTCTTTTGTCCGAAGTAGCAGAGAAAGAGTTTGGGAGATAATCTAAAGTCTTTGGCCCGTGAAACATAGAAAGCAAGTGCTCTCCTAACATCCAGGGTGTGGAGCATGCGCTCCGTGTCATTGGTAGGCTCAGAAAACAAAGTAGGTAGTAAAAGAGGTTGATTCAAGTGAAAGTCTGATACTACTTTTGGGAGAAAAGAGACATCAGTGTGCAGTATCACTTTGTCCCGAAAAAATTGCAAAAATGGTTGATCAGCTCGCAGGGCAGCCAGCTCACTGGCCTTGCGGGCTGAAGTTATGGCCACCAAAAATAATACTTTGATCGATAGCATTTTGAGGTCACATGTGGCCATAGGTTCAAAGGGTGGCCGCATCAGGGAATGCAATACGAGATGAAGTGACCATTGCGGCAGAGGCCATTTCACAGGAGGTCGTAGATGCATAGTCCCTTGAGGAAGGCTTTAACCGTAGGGTGAGAAAAGAAGCGAGAGGCAGGTGACCCTCAAGGTTGGAAGGAAACGATAGCAGCAAGATAAACTTTCAGTGTAGAAATAGATAAGTCGAAATCGAACAAGTACTGGAGGAACTGTAACAACGTAGAGAGGGTAACTGGGGACAACGTGAGACCTCTGGCCTCAGTGAACTTGAGGAAACTTTTCCACTTGTACCCATAAAGCGGAGAAGGGGAGTCCTTTTTAGATTTGTCTAAAACTTCCTTAATCTTGGGGATATCTTCCACGCAGCGAGATGAAGGGTCTGGAAGATCTTGCCTGCATCCTGAGTGAGTAGGGCAGGAAAGGGTGGACGTTTGACGTAGTCTGTTGCCATCTACGCCAGGGTTGGAAACCACGACTGACGAGGCCAAATGGGTGCTATCAGAATTGCCTGTGCCGACTCCTGGCAGAGTTTCACCTCTGTAGTAGGGGAAACGGAGGGAACAGGTAAAGGAGACCCATTTTCCATGGTATCATGAAAGCATCCCCCAATGAACCTTGTCCCCGACCCGCCCTGGAGGTGTAGAGAGGGCATTTCTTGTTGGTTTGGCTGGCAAAAATGTCCACACGAGGTGTGCCCCAGCGGTGGCACAAATCTCGAAATACGTCGATGTTGGTTTGGCTGGCAAAAATGTCCACACAAGGTGTGCCCCAGCGGTGGCACAAATCTCAAAATACGTCGATATTGAGCTCCCACTCGTGCATCTGTACTGTGCGGCGGCTCAACTTGTCAGCCAGAGAATGTCCTCTGTTGATACATGTACGGCCACCAGGAAAATGTGATAGTGGTAACACCATTCCCACAGTGTTACCGTTAGGAACAGAAGTGAGAATAAGTTCCCCCTTGCTTGTTTATATAGTACATGGTCGTGGTATTGTCCGTGACTATTCGTACACCACGACCATGTACTAGGGGGGAAAAGGCTTTGAGCGCCTTGATGACAGCTAGAATCTCCAGGTGGTTGATATGGAGGGTCTGTTCTTGGGGTGACCACCGGGCATGTACCCGATGACGGCCGCAATGCGTCCCCCAACCTGTGGGGCTTGCGTCCGTGGTGACTTGGACAGTTAGTTGTAGAGGTTGGAAGGGACGCCCTACTTGTAGATGTGGAACAAACGGCCACCATTGTAGTTGTCTTGCCAGTTCCGGTGTGATTTGAAGACGCTTGCTCTGATGATGCCGGAGTGGGTCGAAGAGCGACAGAAGCCAAACTTGTAACGACCTGAGCTTGAGTCGGGCATGAGCTAATCCTGGTGTTGTCGAAGCCATAAGACCCAGCAGATGCTGAGCATGCAATGCAATGACTGTAGCTCTTGGTTTGAATTTCTTCACAGCTTTCAAGATCTTGTGGATCTGTTCTTGTGGAAGAAAGATGCGACCATTGGTGGCATCTATTGTAGCACCGATGTAGTTCACAATACATGAGGGGATCAGATGAGTTTTTTTGTAATTTATTGTGAGATCCAGGTTTCGAAGCACATGCAAAGTGAACTTTGTATCTTTCAGGGCCCTGCGTCTGGATGGCGAGACCTCTAGCCAGTTGTCGATATAGGGAAACACATGGACACCGTGTAGCCTGAGGTAAGCCGCGACAGGTGCCATGCACTTGGTAAATGTCTGAGGGGCCGTCGCGAGGCTGAACGGGAGGGCCAGGAACTGATAAATGACGTTTTGGAAGACAAACCTGAGGAACGTGCGGTGAGTGGGATTAATTGTTATGTGAAAATATGCGTCTTTTAGGTCGATGACCACAAACCAATCTTTTCGTTTCAGGAGATGAATGATGGATTCCAAAGTTACCATGCGGAATCGACGAGGACGAAAGTAAGTATTCAAAGTTCTTAGGTCCATGATTGGTCTTATTCCTCCGTCCTTTTTGGGGACGGTGAAATACCTTGAGTAGAAATCGTTTGCAGCGTCTCGTTTTGGAACTTTCTGAATGGCTTGTTTTCTTAGCAAGGAATGAACCTCCTCCTCTAAGGCAGGGTCGAATGATGTGTGTTCTACCTGACCTAGAGGAGGATATTCTATAAATTCCAGGCGATAACCGGAATGGACGATGTCTAGAACCCAGGAATATCTGGTGATGATGGACCAGTTTTGAAAGAATGGCTGCAGTCTTGTTGTGGGAGTGAGAGGTGGCAGTATTGTCCTGGAGTCAAAGATAATGCATGTGTTTCTTGACAGGAGGCTTATATGACTGGCGTCGCTGAGAAGATTGCGCACGGTAAGTAGAGGTTGGAGAAGCACCTTGTGAGGATCTAGATTGAGATTGACCTTAGAATTGTCTAAATTGCTGTGAGGGTGGGGTATACTGAGTGGAAGGCTTTCTCCATTGATATCTGTTGAATCGTGGTTGAGGCTGAATGTAGTAGGACTTTGCTGTCTTTCTAGCCTTGTGTAATTCTTCGAGGTGGCTGTTGGTTTTTTCATTAAAAAGGCCAGAGGCATCAAAGGGGAGGTCTTCAACCTTAGTTTTCACATCATCGAGGATGTTGGCGGATCGAAGCCACGCATGCCTGCGAAGGGTCACAGATACCAGGACCCTAGCAGCGGCCTCCACTGAATGCCTGGTGGCAATCCTCTGATGCTTGGATACAGTTTGGGCTTCCTCAAATGTGTTAAGGTATCCTTGTCGAACATCTTCTGGGAGTAGTTGTAAGCCTGGGAGAATCTTCAACCAGAGTTGTTTCTGGTAAGCACCT